ATCACGGGACTTCCGGTAACTTCCAAATTAAGTTCCCGCCGCGTCCGATGCCGATAGAAACCGAATCGCGCGCGGTGGATCCCGCCGTCGTCCTTCTCGCGAGACTTTACTGTTTTGAGAAAGAGCTCCGCCGTCGATCAATCTTTCCGGATACGCCGATGCATTACGAAATCTTCGTTTTGAATAAAATTTAATACTTTTTTGTAAAATAGTTTTTAAGTATTTTATTCAAAAAAATTATCGCGGCAAATTATTTTAAAATCAATCAAATAATAACTAGTTAGGAGATAAGCGAACAAGAAATGACTGTGTATTGGAAATTTTTTCACCATTTCCATTCTTTTTATGTTAGAATTTTTTCAACTCTATCCCGATTCTTGTAGGCTTAAACAATTGATCCAACAAAAACGAGAAATATTAAATTCGTTATCAAGGAATGATACACTGCACTAAATCATAACTTATGCAATTTACGTATAATTGTTTGCAAGAACTTGATATAAAAATATGCAGTGAAACGATCGACGGCTGCAATAAAGTTTTGCGCGAATCACGCTCATCTTAGATTCAGCCTCGTTAGCCGCGTACTATCGCACGCGTTTGGAATAACTTAATCAGAGAACATAAAAGACAGAAGAAAAAGCAAAGAAATGAAAAATAATGTTTGACTGTGCGACTTTATGCGCGCAGTTTGCTTTACTGGGTAATCGGAAAAGAAGAAAAAAAGATAGACACAGCTGTGCTGCGACCAGGCCGGCCCGTCGAGATTAGATAGCTCGGAAGCTTCTTCCTAGGCCTTCAACGTTCCAAGAATCGCATAATAATCTCATCGAAGGTCGACAACGTCGCTGATAATCGCCACCGTTGAATCGGAAATCGCGCTCTTCCTTCGTTCCCCTTCTGATCTCCGCGTGACTCCGAGTTGCCGGTAAACTATCGTAGTCGCAACGACAACGACGTATCTATTGCCCGATGAGAAAAAGAGCCGACGATAGCGACGTATGCGTGCCTTTTGGACTCGTGACACGCGATATCAAGAATGTGTAATGAAACCGATTCTTCGGTGAAACGCCGAGAGAATGTAACAAGAGCGAGAATTGTTTTCGAACGCGATACGACTCGTTCGTCGACTCGTTCGAGCCGTTATTTGTAAAGAAGCTATCCGACAAACTCGGTCAAGTCAGCTAAAATTAGTGCGACGTATACAGTTTCAACGAATATGCGGAAGTTTGCTACGGTTTTATTTCGAACGAACCTTTGAGATATGTATCATCAAGAGACACGGTAGTGTCTTGCGCCAAGTTCACGCGCAGCGCAAGACCGACCGTGTATCTTTACGCGAGACGGAAGGTTCAGATGAGCCGAGATTATCGGATCTCAATAACGGCTGAGCCGATTGAGTTGGTAATAGGCTCAATCAAAAGCGCATACCCAAATTACATAAGAAAAATATGCTTGTTTTTGCTCTGTGTGCTTTATAAATCAAGATATATGCATCCAAAGTCGAGAAATCTAAAAAATCATCATTTTTCTCGGATGTCGCGTAAAATGTACGCTAAAATGTAACGCATGTCTTATTGGTCAGCGTCGTCAGCACGCAACCAATCAGAACGCACTCAACTCAGATTTCTAATATGGCGGCGCTCAGACCTGTCAGCTCGCAGCTTTGATGATATTAATTAACGTTGATATAATTAATATCGGTCGTAAAATGTATATATAACGTGTTGTGGAGACGAATAAAGATAGTGTATATCAAAATAATAGTATTATTTATGAAAAAAATTTGTTTCGATCTTAAAGTGCAGAAGTGTAGCAAGACATGTTGACAACACTCTCAGTATTCTGTGGTTAGTGGACAGACAGAACAGAATGAAATTGACTGGAAATGATAAATATTGTTAGAACTAATTTAGTATATATAGAACAGAAATATTAAATTTTGATATTTAATTTTATTTATTTTGGACAAATCATACACTAAAGTCTCGAATCATGTGCTTTTTTGACAGAAAGTATGATAAAATTAAAATTTATACAATCATACTAATTATCACTATGCCTTATGTGACAATTGTTTAGAGACTTTAGTGTATGATTTGTCTAAAATAAATAAAATTAAATAACTCAAAGTTTAATATTTCTGTT